GTTGAACCGTCCATTCCACCGGGTCTTAGAAGTAATGATTTTGTGGGATTTTTTTATAAATCAGATTGATATTATTAAAAATAAGATCATTAGCACTCCTCTATCTGCGATTGGTTTGTCTCTGGAGGGTGGGGCATCTGGTGGACAATCTGAACCAGGTTTAAACTGCTTTGATCCAATTGAACTTTCAAACCTCTGCTTAAGAAACCGTCTCTTGACCCAGATGACTTGGTCAATTATAGACCTATATCCAATCTTCCCTTCTTATCCAAAATTCTTGAGAAAGTATTTGACAAACAAGTGTGCGATCACTTACACCATAATGAACTTTTCGAAGAGTTTCAGTCTGGCTTTAGAGCTCATCATAGCACTGAAACAGCTCTGGTGAAAGTCACTAATGATATTCTCATGGCCTCAGATAATGGACTTGTATTTGTACCGAGAAATGTAACCTGCTGAGACGGAATCAGGTTGCTCTTCTGCCAGTTCACACGAAGACCCAACAGGTCTATGTGGTTGAGCAAGGTGCGGGTGTCTGCAGTGGCTTGAGTTTCTGTGGGTGCACAGACGAGCCAGTCGCCCAAGTAAGGCAGGATCTTCCTTACCCTTGGCCAGCAAGGTGTCTATCTCTTGGCTCAGGGCCTGAGCCTTTACCTGGTCGTGAATCACTGTCCACCTGACTCGAGAAGGAACAGGAGGGCGGCGGCAGAACTGTAGCACGTAACCCCGGGTAAGTGTACACACAGCCCATGGATCGGGAATGAGAGCGGCCTAGCAACCGAGCTGGTCTGGGGTAAAGTGTCCCACTACCCGCCCAGTGATGTCATCTCCGAGCCCCTCTCGCCCTTACGGGGGCGGGAGGGTTGCCGAGTGGCCCGCCTGGGTTGAGAAGCGATATGAGCCCGACGTCTGGGTAAATCCCACTGGCCATGGGCAGGTCACTAGCCACTTGCCCAGATATGCCCTCTGAAACCCTGGAGCTACTCTTGGTCCTCTTCCATGGAGGCCCCATAGCCTCAGGAGCCACACGTTTCACCTCTCTCTTATTGTGTCTGCGCAATCGCAGTAGTTCTAATCCGCACATGGTGCACAAATTATTGTACAGCCTGCACGCTCTCACTCGCATAAAAAAAAAAAAAAACACCACCAAAAAAAGACTAAAATCCGGGATAATTTATCCGACTCGCGGGCATTAGTGAACAGCTATCGATATTAGGGAAACTCCCAGAACTTCCGGGAGACTAGGGATGTCTGCATTAGGTGCCATTCCAAACCACGGAGCGGGTAGGCTGAGTGGACCATTTAGTCCTGAAATAGTGGCTCTCTTGGAATTCATGGGACGCTTCCTCCGAAGGCTAGATTTGATGGCCAATTACGTCATAGCACGGCGCTGAGGTCTGGTCCGATTCCAATACTCCTTGTTTTTGCCCGATTGAAGGGACGGGTCTGGTGTATCCTAACTATCCTTGGTTTTTCCCAGGATTCATTGCGAAACCAAGCCAGCTGGCTGCTCCGGTATCAAAGGCAAAAGGTACTTGAAACAGTGGAGAATATTGGAGGTTCAGTTTAATATAATCCAAGCATGTGAATAGCTTTGTCTGAAATTAAAGAAAATAGATGTTTTAATGGTTATTGAGTCAGATATATGGCGGTAATGTTTGATTTATCTAAAGGTTTTTATCTGTTACTCTGTAAACGGGTTTGGCTGTAATTAAGGACAGATTCTAATATATCTGCAGGGTGGGGAATATAGGACTATAAATCTGATAGGATCTTTTTTTATTGCAAGTTTGCTCAATTTGCTTAACTAAATATTTCTGTTGATGAGTATAAGAAATTGTATAGATATATTTTTATACATACATTGTTTAGATTTACCTAAATCTAATCTTTCTACCCCTCTTATAGAATAGAATACATTAGAATAGAATAGAAAATCCCTTTATTGTCCCACAATGGGGAAATTCTGGTCTTACTGTACTGTAAAATTTTTTAACAATATGAAAAACTATGCACCTGGAGAATAAATAACCAATAAAATGCTATGGACAATTTTACAGTAATGGATATTTGAAAAATAGCAGCAACATCAGAGATGTGCAAAATGACAGCAGCATGTTACTAAACTGACTGAGGTTTATATCATTAAATTTGCTTTTATTTGTTCCTGCTCGCGGTGGTTGGCACTTTTATTCCACTCTGGATTCGAATGAGTGTAGTCTTTGTTCACTTTACGATAAAAAAAAAATTAAAATAAAAAAATTAAAAGACACAGTTTGGAAAGTTCGGTATTACCGTAACTATCGTCTTACTTCCAAGGACCTCAAAGGATCCAGTCCAGGTAGACCACGTCCTTGGAAGACGCAGCCCATAAATTTGAACACAGCCAGTGAGTCTGCAAAATGTACGTACCACCAGTTTGCTGCATCTTCATGACACTGATGCAAAATCACAAGTTAAGTATAAGTAAAACAGCTAATACAGTTCAAATGGGAAGGTCCTCTTTAAAATTGTTTTATTTGACCATATAGATTTGTTTTTAAGAAAGGGACAAGTGTTATGTCACCTGTGGCAGATACAGACGGGGGCAGACCCCTTTTGGAGACCAAAATAAATATTTTCTACATACTTTGTTTGTTTTAAGATTGGTATTTTAAAGTACCAATAGTTTACATTCAATAATTTAAATAACAGGTGTTAGTTTTAGCGAATATAAAAAAGTTATGGTCTAATTTGTTGTTACAGAGATGTCGTTACAAAATTTTAATTTGACGATCTGGATCTTTTTCTTGTTTGGTGTGATTGCAGTGGCGGATCTTGACCTGGCCAGACCGGAGCGGAACAAAAAAGATTGCTTTGCCCTGTATTTTGAGGGCGAAGGACGGAGAACATCTACGTGGATGGTGATGTGCGAAGGAGTAACAGTGGATTTGTAAGAATTGTTCATTGATTAACATGACAGAACAAGTGCTCTGAGCTGGGCGGAGCGGAGTGGTGACGAAAGGGGTGGAATTTGGGGGTTAGGTGCAAACCCTCTAAAATCCTGTAACCGCCCCTGGCTACAGCCAAGCACATGAGGCATCACTGTGTTGCTGTAGCCACGATTGCCTTCTTTTTCCACTTGTGGGAGGAAGACCTCCCATTCAGGTTTATTCAATCTTTGAATCCTGAGCCAAAACTCTCCCTGCCTCCTTATTTTCACGCACCTCGAAAGACCTAATCCAGGTAGACCGGGTCTTTAGAGGATGCAGCCTTTGAAATCGAAAACACCCATTATTTACCATGACTGCACACCTGCTCCGCTGGGCGTACGTGAGCGAGGCTGAGCGGTTATGGAGGATGAGGGATTTCAGGGTCAGAAACTAGAGCAATGGACAAAAAAAATTAAACCAAAACAGAGAAAAAGTCTCAGCAGCTGAATAAAATGATGCGTTGAGCAGGTGGAAGCAGCTGCTTAACATCTGGAACCATTTGGCTTAAAGTAAACCAATAAAGGAGTCTAGCTTAGGTGGACTGCTTTAGTAGCATCTTAAAAATTATTTTTCAAAATAAAATAAAAATACAAAAACAAAATACAAAAAACTCTCTGAAAACTCTCTGTTTAACTGAAAAACCCTTTAAAACTCACCTTTAACCAAAGGCTGCCTTCAGATGAGGTGTATTTCTGTCTAATGATTGTTGGTCGGTGTGAAGCTGCTGAACGCACAGCTTCATTCACTTTAGGTTTAAAGGGAAAACGAAAGAGAACTAAAACCAACTGCGTCTGCGCAGAAAAACTAAGATTAGATTAGATTAGATGAGCTGTGAGCTTTATTGATCTCACAGCGGAGAAATTCACTGGTCACATATTGGCATAGTACTTAAAGAAGGTGCAAACAAGGAGGAAAAGGTGCATCAGGAATAAAAATGAAATAAAAATAAATGACAAAAATAAAAATAAGAAATAAAAAAATTAAAAATACAAGGAAGATACACAGAGATTTGAGGTGACATATGTACAATCAGGATGGCTTATATACAGGTGGATTGACTTTTACATTAAAGTGTAGTGGTAAGGAACAATGGTGAGGTAGTGGTATGACTATTATATTCACATCTATTGCACAGTCAGCATATTTCACAGAATATTGCACAGTCAATAAATAAAAAACTATAATATAGCTGCACAGTGGTTGTTACAGGAGTTATTGTGGTTATAGTGCAGTATTATAGAGTCTGGTGACAGCAGGAATGAATGACCTGCGGTAGCGCTCCTTCTTACAGTATTTGGTGTAAATTTAACTTATTTTGTCAGACTTTTAAATAAAATCAAACCCATGTTAAATAATTAGTCACCTATAGATTTTGAAGGTGTTGGCATTTTTTTTAGTTCACCTGGTCTTTAATGAGCACCTATATTTGCGTTTTTGTATAGCAGATGATGGGTTTTCTTATGAGTATGAATTTGGACTTTATTTGATTTTTTTAACGTTTATTCCTTCAGATGTGTTTCCTTCTACAACCATAACGAAGTGTTTCAACCATACATTTTTTTTTTCTCAGTTTTAGCCCTTTAAGCCAAATTTACTATTAATCCTTCAGGATATTTTAAAGGCTCCTCTCCTGCTGACTGCCTCTAATTTATTCTGCAGTTTTTTCTTTATAAATGCTTTTAAAACCTGATTTTTTTATCCTTATATTTAAAAACAAATGTATTACCAACCCTCGGTTAAGCATTTATTCAGTTGGAGAAAATTAGGGTGCATTGACATATTGATCTGTTCTAAACATCTAACCAACGCTCTGATGGGTTCATAGTCACCTGGTGACATTGTGATCTAAAGCTGTGCGTCGTCTGCATAGGTATGCAGGCGACGCACAGCTGATCTGATCTTGTTGTTTGCTATAATCTGAGCTAAAGTGAGCGTGTAGATACTGTATAGGAGGAGCCCCAACATGGATCCTTTTGGAAACCCACATGTGATTATTCTGATCTCTGATTTAAAGTTCCCTCCTTCAGATAGGATTTGAACCTGTCCAGTGTAATACCAGAAAGGACAACCCATTTTTACAGAAGTGATCTAATGTGTCTAATGTCGCACTGAGGTCCAATAGTACCAGCACTGTGGTTCTTCCACAGTCTGAATTAATACAGATTTCATTGAACACCTTAATCAAGGCAGTCTCTATACTGTGGTTGGCATGGAAACCTGACTGGTAGATATCAGAGTAGCTGCTCATTGTTGAGAAGGCATTTAACTGTTGAAACAAAACTTTTTTCAATAATCTTACTGATGGACGGGAGGTTTGAGATGGGCCTGTAGTTCTGCAAGACCAATTTGTCCAAGGCTCCCTTTTTTAACAATAATTTAAATTGTTGTTTTTAAGGCCTATGGTGAAATAACCGACATAGGGGATGTGTTTATGATTTGAATAAAATCAGACTCTTAAATAAGTTAAAACCTTCTTCATTAAACCCGTTGGTAAAATATCAAGATAGCAGAGAGAGGAGATTAGCTACGGAAAAGCTTCATCTAAACTTCTACACTTTATTTGAAAGAATTGGGGCGTTTTAACAGAGCTCATTCTAACTGGTGAACGTATTGGTAGTGGACTTCACATTCATGTACAGACTTGTATTTCCTCAGTAAATAATTTTGCAAAGTTATTGCAGGCCTTTTTAGATTGGAGTTCATCTGCCACGAAGAAAGGAGGCATGTTAACTTGTCGAACGTGACAAATAAGGCGCAAGCATTGTTGAAGTTTTTTTGGGTAATCTAGAAGAAATATGCTCTTGCATCTTTTAGTTGTAAATTGTATTTGTAAAGTTTCTCTTTTTAGATTTCATAGTGTAGTTGGAGTTCATTCTGTTATGTTTGGAAGCTAGGATGAACTCTTAACAGCGTTTATTCATAACATGTTCAGCAGTACTGTAACATAAGGTATTCCTTCCCTCCATCTTACTTCTTCCTCTCCCACCTTTTTCCTATACTAGTACACCACCTAGAGGTAGACACAACATATTCTTTCGCCACTTCGCCACTCTTTTCTCACCGCTGGAGCAATTCTATATGGAGATTTCATCTTCCCAGAGACAACATTCAT